CAGGGCCGCTACCAGGACCCCTACTACGGGGGGTATGGGGGGAGGAACGGCTCCGAAGCGCCCTACGTGCCGCAGAGCACCTGGAAGGCTGAGCCAGCGTATCCCACCAGTAACACCGTGGGCCAGGCTCCTCCCGGGCTCTACCAGCCGCCTGGCACGAAGAAGACCTACATCACCGACCCGGTGCTGGCCCCCCAGCCGCCTGCTATGCAGCAAAAGGTAGGGGATGTGGGTGCTCACCGGCCTCCCTGGGGGAGCAGAAAGCCACATGGCTGAATGTGCCCTGGCACCCTTCCTAAAAGTTGGTGTGGGGGGGGCTAAATGGTGGGGGGCTAAACGGTGCCTGCGAGGGCTTGGGGCAAGTCTCCTTCCATACGTCGTCTTAAAGCTGGAAGTAGAGAACTCTTGTCTGGTTTGAAAAGAGGCTTTTGTAGGGGCTTAGAAATGCTGTCATCCTCAAAGGGTGAGATGGGGTCATGTGTGGAGGCATGGTGTCACCCTGTGGGCAGGACGGAGGTTTTGTCCCTCTGACATGATGTTACCTAAGGAGCTCGCTGGCCATGCCTCCATACGGCATTGCTGTGCTTGGGTCTTTCCTTCTGGGCCCTCCCAAGATCAAACAAGAGGTTGGGTTGGAGTTTCTGCTCCGTGTGCTTGTGGACCCCTCTGGTTCACTGGACAAATCCTTCCTCTTCTCAGGCAGATAGGAGGTACGCTGGAGACTGGTTTTGATTGTGGTTCAGAGCGATTGCAGAGGTTGACCTCTGGTGTGTTGCTGTTCAACAATCACTTATCACCGAAACCACATGGAAATGAGTTCCCACAGAGCTCAGCTCTGATTTTCCTCTCAGGTTATGGTACGGTGGGTGGCCTCCATCCACTTGAACCGGTGCCCAGCCCTCATAAAGCGAAGCCGATTTGAGATAGAAAGTTGAACTGGTCTGCCTGGTTTCTCTGCCCAAACTTTGACCCTGGCTGGCTTTTGTCACTTCTGCTGGTGGCCATCTCTAACGTGGCTCTTGGGGGAGCACAGGAGCTTTAGCTTTGTGGGGTCCTTGTAGTGTATGACGGGCTTAGGCTCCACCGGAGGGTGAGGATGGCCAAGCCCAGGTGGGGAGGCAGTGAACCCATCACTGCCCAGGCCCACCCTGCCTCGGTCTCAGCATGTCCCTGCTCTTCAGCTTGTGGGTGCTCACCGGGAAGGGGGAAAAAGCTTCTGACACGTAACAGTAAGTCTGTCCTTCTGGCATTTCCTTCACTAGAAGCACACGGACTGTTTCCCGTGAATTCCACTTTTCCTGACAGTGGGAACTTTTGAAGGCAAAGATGTTTCTCCAGGCAGTTCAGAGATGGCGATACATTACAAATGTTCTTGCAACATTATTTGCTAGCAGCTAAGAAACGGCTTTTTCCCTTTTCTTCCCCTTCCTTACCAAGAAGTTAGGAGTGAGGAGAGAAGCAATAAACTCTCAGCTCTGCAGGTACTTGGTGTAGAGCTCCGATTGGAAAGTGGTGAAAGACACAAAATTTGCACATAGCCTTAACTTGTGTAAACTGCTGTGGTTCCAGTGGAGTCACTGAGGAGGTGCTGAGGTACAGCACATCCATATTTAGACTTTTATAGATACAAGTAGGGTTATATATATAAAAAATTTAAAAAGTTTAGTTCAGTCAGCATCTCTATGGAAACGCAAATCATCTCGAACCACAAACAGCACAAGCCTGTTAGTCTCATTTGCATTACAAAGCTGGAGGGACAATTTAATTTAGCTCAAGTTTGGGGTTTCATGTGCGTATATATATAAAAATATATATGTGTTTGTGTGTGTGCACGTGGTGTTTGCAAATACACATGCAGAAACACTTCATATATATCTCTATAAAAATAATTTCTGTTCTTCTGCAAAACAGACTTATTATCTGCTTGGTGACAAATCCCTCCAGAACTTCATTCCCTTCAAGCCTGCTAAATATCTGCATTATTACCTATTTCGCTTTTGAACTTACAACTCTTCTCTGATGTTGGCGGCAGAGTCTGCTTGGTTGCTGCTTTGTAACATATATAGTTTAATTGGTGAAGAATTGGAGGTGATCTTACAGTCTAACAGGAAATGCTCAGGGATAGAACACACTATACCTTGCCAATGAAGCAGTGTTGTCCAGTTTTACCGCATGCTGTTCTCTTCCTTTGCAGACTCACTCATTCATAAAATCAACTTTTGGAACGATTTTATTTGAAGAGAAAAAAAAGGAAGGCTATGTTAGAGCCAGGTATCTGATAGGAAGAATTGTCACTGTAATTTGACTTGTTGGCTACAATGTGAATTTTAACATCTTTTCCTACACACAACTGGCTTCTACATTTCATTGTGTTTTGCCTTTTCAAGGTTGTTCTGAGGCCTTTCAGTTAAGGCAATTGATTTGAGAAGCCAGGGTAAGAAGCAGGCTTTAATACATATCACATAAAATGCAAGAAGACCCTTAGGAATTTTTCTTCTTGCAAGGGTATGATCTTAAAATATAAAACAATTTCTAAATGTATTCAAAAAATGCTTTCTTAATTTTGAACGCACTTCGTTTGCAAAATATTAAGGATGTTGTAAAAAATCCACCTTAGATTAGAAGTTCATGGTCCTTAATTTTAATACATACTGTGATCCATCACTATGAGAGGTAAAAATTTTCATTGAATTTGTTTAGGGTTTTTAAAGGGTAAAAAAATAAAGAAGGATGTTTATATTTTGCATTCTGGCTGGGAAGAGGTTCATGGTACTGTGGCTCTGTGTTTTTTGCTGCGTACTAATCGTGTTGAGGTCGCTGCTGATCCAAAATAAATCTGGATCGGTATGGGAACAGCAAATAATCTGTACTGGTTCTTAAAGCCCACTGAGAACAATGAGTTTTACTCACACACAGCGCTGAGTTGCATTCTGTCCTTGGGCCGGTTATGGAAGTGAGATCATGGATGTGAAACCTCTGTGCATTTTAGTCTTTTGTAGCACCCTGTCTAGCTTTAATACCCAAGTCCTAGTTAGGAAATGAACTGGTGGAGTGCCTGCCCTCGTTTAGGTAGATGGTGGGGATTTCTGTAGGAGCAGCGGAGTTGTCATGAGACTGTCACAGAAACATGTGATACAACTGGCTGCTCTTGTATTTTTTTCCAGTGGTGCTGTGCCTGCTCAGACCAAGTCAAAGTCTGAAGCCTCTCTCTTAACTTCTCCCCTCCCAAAGGCCAGGGAGCACAAGACCGGCGTGACTCATTAGGTACACTGATTTCTGGCACCAAAATGTCCACAGTAGAAAACAAAAATGTCAGAGCTGGTTTCTGACATGGAGAGTTCCTGCAAGTTTGCCCTGTGGTCAAAACGGAGTTGACGAAACTCCCACCACTGACAAGCTCAGCTATCACCAAATGTTTCTGTGCTGAACTAGTAAAGACACCAAATACCCTTGTCGAGCTCTCCTATCTCCAAATAGGTCTGTGTCCTTTCACTGTTTTTGCTCATGTTTGAGTGTTTTTGAGACGCTATTGAGTGTCTCCCGGGTAGCTTTGTGGACCTTTCAGGGACCTCATGTGGCTCCGGTTGTATTTCAGGTGTGGCCACTGTAGACACCTGGGAGGTCTGTCCTTTCTAGGTCTTGGATCCTTTGTGCTCTCCTTCTTCTTTCTGAATCTACTCATAGGCCTGGGGAACCGTGTTCTCTCCCAAAGGAACCCGCACATTTTTGGCATCCAGAGTGGGCACCGCTGAAATCATCTGAGCCAGCTTGTGGTTTTGGTCCAGAATGGTGGAATCTTAACAAAAACATTGATCTCTTGAGAGCAATTGGCTGATTTGGGGAGAACAAAAGAGTTTGGTAGCTCTGATTTAGTATAGCATCCAAATCCATGCTCCTTTGCTGCAGATTGGCTGGAAGGAGTAAGGGAGCAGTGTCCCTTTGGTAGCTGTGTCTGTTCTCACTAACATGGCACAAGTGTTTGAGTTACCTAATGTGCTTAGCCCACACCAGCTGTGTAAATTGTCCCAATTTACATATATACAAGCATAGGTGCATATGGAGCACGACCTCTTCAGACAGCCCTTCTGTGTTGTGCACCGTTCTAGGTGAACACCGGGGAAATTAAGTGGGGAGACAACTGGAAAAGGTAAAATTAACAAGGTAGCTTATGCTTTTGGCAATGATTTAGGTGGTGGTGGCTGCTCGTGATTAGCAGACCTCAACCACCGCATCGTTTCCGCACTGCTGGAGGTGGTGTTTGCTGCCTGCTGCAACCAGCATCGACATGGTCTCATGAAACTTGCAGTGCCCAAAAGGGGACTGTGACGGCTCGCTGTTTTCTCATTTTACACAGCTTTTGTCAGTTTTTCCACTGATTTAATACCTGTGATGGAGACATTCACTTGGAAGTTTCATCTTTGCCTCAGAAACATCTGCTCACCAGTGTTCTTTGCTATGACTGATGCACTTCTCTTGTACTGGTTTAATAATTTTTGCAGTCTGCCATCACTCACATAAAGTAGATACCTCCGGCACTTGCATTTGAACTGAGACTAATGCTCTTGCTTTTTGCTGTTAATCTAGTGACTAGGAATTTTTTATTCTCTGCAGATGAATAAATGCAATCTGCCAGATTCCCTCCTGCTGTCACAGGGATATATTCTTTCTTAGTGTTGCTTTTTGCTTATGGAGAAAGGCAGGCAGCTTGATGTACACTGCCTGGCTTCCCTGAGTGTCTTCTCCCCAAAAATCTCCTATCTCCACCCAAGTGTCCTCTTCCTAAAAGTCATGTGTTGAAAATTTCCACTGGCTGGGATTCAGAAACGGTGCAAAATGATGTTTGAAGTTCATTTTCTGTAAGTGTGAGACGCTAAAATAAAGCAAAACCAAGTAAAATGAAGAAGGTTTATCTAAAATATTCTACTTTGGCATTTAATGAATTAAAAAAGAAAGAAAACTAATGTAAAATGAAATAAAAGGTGAAATTCCAAAATTCAGAGTTGAATTTGTAATTTCAACGTGACATTTCAAAATTTCCAGATGAATACACAGTTCCTTTCTACCCTGAGAATAGCAACAAATGTCAAAATGTTGACATTCGTCACAAAACAGTAATTCTGAGTTCTAACCAGCACTAGCTGTGTATCAGCTGCTGACTCTGTTACTGCTTCTGGGTGGATTAAATTAAATGCTGTTGCTTCTGTTAAAGCGAGGAGGAG